CCATCCTTTTAATCACCTCCAATGTTTAGTGTACTCACAAGACAATAAAATAAATTCTTATTTACAGAGTATATGTGGGCATCCCAAAATCGTGGTTTCTTTTTATGCATACCTAGTAAATGGGATTTTGCACAGCACTTTGAATAGTGACTGAGGACCTTAGCAAATATAGATTAGTCCCATCCCTTGGTTTTGTGACGTCATAAATGGTGAACTGACTGCACACATAGTCCTGTGGGAGTAACCCTGAGAATGGTACCAGTTCAACCTACCAAAGTTAAATACTATTTTGAGATGTGGAATCTCCATGTCTGTGCTGACTCATTATGTTCTGAGCTTCTGAGCCTAGCTTAATTATATTTATGCTGCCTTGACTAGCAATTACATTTTCTGTTCTAAGAGAGGAAAAGAGAGGGGGGAAAAACCCTATTAACATGATCAAATTACAATGGAAGGGAGTGGGACAGTGGACACAGAGTTTTGTGGCCAAGCAGAAAAACTCATGTTTTGTCAAAAAAGAGGAAATTAGAAGCTGGAACTTGGGTCACTGGGAAGACTATTCAAGACTAGTCATAATTACCAACAAGGCAGCCAACCAAACACTTTTAAAAAGGAGGGCCTTCTCAGGATGCATCCAGATTTTGTGGAGATTTAAATAATATAACTTGGAGGTCCTCTTTAAGAAGAATAAAACTAAATTACAAGTTCATATTAGGTTATAGGGTCTTGGAAAGAGTTCAAGTAAATAAACCCAACACTTTTAAGAAGGAGAGCCTCCGAAGGATAAATCCAGATTTTGTGAACTGGGATGGCCTCTTTAAGAAGAATAATTTTAAAGTACAAGTTCATATTAGGTTATAGGGTCTTGGAAGGAGTTCAAGTAAGTAAGGGACCATGAAGCCCAAGCTTCATTAGCTTCTCTAAATCCACCTCTGGGCCTCATGCAGCACGCTAGGACTCTGCCACTCCCATCGTCTTTTTCCCTGGAGAAGGCAAACTTCAGGCTATTAAAGGGGGGTTAGGGGGGAGGAGGTGCGGTTTATGAGCAGAGGCAATAAAAACCGAAGACATAGAACTGTGCCAAACAGTGACTCAAGCATGAGAAGTGTCTGTAAGTATTTCAAGGGTGTAAGAACAGAAAAGGGAAAAGAATCACTCACTGTTCTGGGATGGAAAGGGAATAAGGATACAATTAAGTAAAGAAAAATGTGCACAGAGCTCATCAGGAAACATTGGTTAACTGTGTTTTCTGATACTGTGGAGCTGCATTTCCCATGGGAAATGTTTGATGATCTATTGAGTCACTGAAATTGGAACTGGTGGCAAAAAATGTGCTACAGGAAACAATCCTTACATGATGTCCTCAAAAAAGAGGCTGGAATCCCCCAAAGTTCACTCTGAACCCTAGATTCCATAAGGCTGACACATGTCATTCTGTACATCATAATGTGGGGAGGAGGCCAGATGAAGATAAAAGAGAACAATCCTACATGGAGCAACAGTCACCTCCACCCACATTTTGCTGACTGTTGGAGGAAGCATGTGACTGAAGGAGATAAAATGTGAGGACATAGCGCCACCAAGTGTCTGAATAGAGATCAGGCGGCCAGGAAGGCAAACCTGAAACAAGGAGAACCTCGAAACTCAAAGGAAACCAACAGTTAATGTAAAAAGCTGAGCAAGTTCAGCCTTTTTTATTTTCTGACTCCAGCTCCTTGCACATTTCATTGTAATTGGCAGCATCAGGATGGATGGTGAAGAGATTGAGATTGTTCACAGCTTTAGTTTCCTTGGTTCCGCAGTAGCCAGGAAATTAAAAGAGGTATCATAGCGATGGGAAGGTCTGCTGTTAGGGACCTCTTCAAAGTACTGAAGAGCAATGGTGTCACTCTGGAGACAAAGGTGTGCCAAATACAGGCCATCGTCTTTGCCATTATGTGTCAGAGAGCTGGACAATGATTAGGGAGGATAGAAGGAAAATTGATGCCTTTCAGCTGTGGTGTTGGAGAAGAGTATTGACTATATTATGGACTGCTAAGCAAACTAACAGGATCATCCTGGATAGACCAGGCTGCTCCTTGGAGGCAAAGATTCTGAAGCTTCATCTGACATACTTTGGACATTTTACAAGGAGGGACTAGTCCTTGAAGAAGGATGTCATGCTTGGGAGGGTGGAGGGACAGCGCAGGATAGGATTGATAGGTGGATTGATTCAGTAACAGGGATAATGGGGGTAGGTGTGTCGGAGATAGTGAGATTGGCACAGGATAGAGCGGGGTTTAGGGCTGTTGTACATAGGGTCACTATGAGTCGCAGGCGACTTGACGGCACATAACAACAACAACAATGTAAAATATGATTACAAAATCCCTTCTCACAAACCAAAGTGATATCTCTGCCACAATGAATCACTTGACTGATATGTTAGGATCCTTGATGCCATAGTGGATTGAGCACTGGGCTACTAAAACATCAGTGGTTCAAATCCATTAGTTGTTTTGCAGGAAAAAGATGAGGCTAGGGATTTAGTCTTGGAAACCCTACACGGCAGTTCTACTCTGTCTTCTTATAGAGCTGCTTTGAGTTGTAATCAAATTGACAGGTTTGGCTTGGCTTTTATATATTACAGCAATCACACTTAGACATAAGAAAGTGCCTGGAAGAGTAGACAGTCTATTGGGTGACAGCAGGATTTGTGGGAACTCTTTACAATGTGAACTAATCCACTTATGTGTCTCTTAAACCTGTGATTCTGCAAACCAATTGCACAGAGTGGGAAAAACATTGTTTTTTCCAGTACTAAGTCTGAAAACTAAGGTGGGAGAAGATATCTAAAGAGTTTATTAAATTTTAATTCAATATAAGTATGAACAGTATATTAATTCTCTGAGGTCTTTAGAGAGATTTTTTTAGATTTAAAGCTCTTAGTCTCTTGGTCTCTCCCTCAGAAAGCTTCTGAGAATGTGTATATTTTCCAAAGTTCACTTTTGTCAAAATTGAAAGCTGCTTCTCTGGAATGAGAAACTCTTGGGGAGTTTCCATCCAGGATGGAGAAGTAAAGAGTTATAATGAAGGATACAAAGCCCTGGGATAGGTGTGGTGCCATGAGAGACAGAGAGGAGGACCTACTCAACACTGGGGGAAAAGAAACGTTTTGAAGAATGACTTTTAAAGTCAGTCTCGGTGAGAGGCAGCTCACCAGGAAAACAGAGATGAAAGGACAGAAAGGAGAGCATCACAAAGACAAGAAGGACAGGAGTCCATGGGTTTTTTATTTTGTTGTGTGTTGTTTTTTGGTGTGTGTGTGTGTGTGTGTGTGTGTGTGTGTGTGTGTGTTTTTAATCACAAGCAGCTTTAGAATGTTTGTATCCTAATCAGTTTGTATAATTTCTGAGGACAGAAGAGATCAGTTTATACTTTTAGGTGATCAGCTGCAAGAAAATACGCAACGAATCCTTTATTGATTTATCAGATGACTTTTTTTAGATTGGGAATTAAATGGACTGTACCCTTGGGTCTGCGGACCCTGAATTTCATCAGTCCCATTCCTACTCTGGTGATGTGGATTGACAAAGTTAAATGGCTGCAACAATAGGTTTAAACACAGCCAAGACCGTGAGCATGATTGAGGACTGCACTGTGCTTCCTTCTTTGTACCTAACAGTGTACATTCTGGTCACGGAATCAGAACTGACTGGGCCTTGTCAGGCACCTGCCAGCAACAACTCCTCCTCTACTCTACATTCTTATACTTGCCCTAGCCCCATCTCGGTGTCTCGCTCCTGTCTCAGAGTTACATGTGGAAGGAGATGTTGTAATAATCCTTACTAATGATGCTATGAGTTGATTCTGATGTGACAGTAATTGTTGTTAAGTGCCATCAAATCGTAGATTCATAGAGACCCTATGAAAGAAAGACGTGAACACTTGTATAATTTTCTTCGTTTCTCCAAGTTCATAGTGTTTCTGGAGGCAAGCTGTTTCAGAAGTGAATGCCACTCCTGCTTCCAAGCTTGTTTTAATTGGGGAACTCCACCAAACACTGTCCACCATGGATAACCATGATCACATTTGACACATCAGTGGCACAGTATTTAGCATCACAGCACCACAAGTTAGTTATCTCTGTACAGTAAATGGACAGACCAGTGCTATGCCACTTAAAAGAATGTTTGACCAAAACAATTAACACCAGGCCTGAGGGCCTCAGATCAAAATCACCTACCTCTGGCCTGGTAGCATAACTTTCTATCCACTAGGCCAACTGAGCGCTCTCTGTGGTTGTGGTTGTGGTTGTTGTTGTTGTTGTTAAGGGCCATTGAGTCATAGAAAGACGTGCTGCTAACACAAAGCTTGTGCCTCTCTGGAATCTGGTGCAAATCTACCAGTGGCTCCTCGGGAGAAAGATGGGCAATCTCTTCCCATATAATTGACAACCTTGGACACCAATAGAGGATACGCTATGATTCCATTCTAACTCCATGCAATGAGAGAGAATGATGCTAACTAGAAGACAGATATCAATCATGGAACAGGGAAACAATTTTATCTCCAGGGTCCTGAGAAGCCTCGACATTACAAATGGTAGAATTTATTCAAAAGCATAGAACATCCTACGCAAGGGAACAAAAACTTTCATAGTAGTGGTACCCTTGTAATATATCCTGCTCCTGCCATAAAATCGAGCACAATCAAGGCACACCAGTTATTGGGGGAATAGCCGTTAGATGGAAGCAAAGCCATCACTTATTCATTAAAAGAGATGCATCACTGTAAATGCAGGGCCTTGCTGCTCTGTGCTTAATCCCAGACCCCACTGGCAAGCTCTCCTGTGTAATCTCCCAGAACAGCTGGACCAAGATTGCAGTCAATTATTAAATGCCTATGTTCCCTGCAAAGCAGCATTTAATCATGAGGCTCTCCCAAAAGTATGAAGTGGAAAGGAGGGGTGACAAGGGGAGGGCAGAGGATGGAAAGGCAGTTTTCATTCTTCCGACATGAAACCAGAGGGAGTTGGAACACAGATGGCACACCGCGATCCTTCTGAATAAGCTGCAAGATGCTGACCATGCCTAAGGTAACCAGCTTCCCCGTGCTGCTGTTCAGGAGACCCACGCCGTAGTTCTCTTACACTTGATTCTTTGAAGAGAGTCAATCTTGTCTGTTTGTTGTCCTTGTTCACCTTCATTTACTCCTAGGTTTTCTGTTCATTTGTGTGGATAGTAGATTTACTGAGTTTTTGACACCTGTGCACTTCTGTTGATCTGAGTTCCTGACTGTCAAGGATGCCCTTTTCTGTCCCTTTTCTAGAGCATAGAGGGCCATGTTAGCAGGTAAATTGTCAGCAAATGAAGGAATACGGCTTTTCTTATGATTGTTCAATCTTCATGATCGACTGCGCATTAAGGGAATCATTACAAAACTAGATTGTTTTTCCAACTCTGGGAGTTGGGAGGTGAGGCATGTTTTCAGATAGATCTTGAAGATACAGCTGCTGTGTTTGTCCCTGGTGGCCACTTCTTCTGGAAGGAATCTCTTTGAGCTTCCATCTAAGCTCTCTGTCATCCTTTATTTCTCTGCTTACCTCTTCCTTACATCGGTTGTTATCTTGGTGGTGGTAGATGCGCACACCTTGATGTGACACTCATTATTCTTATTTCTGAACAACCTGGAAAAGTAGCGTAGAGATAGAGGTACCTTGAAACAGACTGAGTATAGAATTAGAATCTGATATAACAGTGGACAAATTTCCAAACGACGTAAGGTTGAAAACTAACCCTGAGTTTACAAACTTTAGAATTGCCTATATCTGTTCAATCAAATTCTAATTAAATGTTTATTCAGAATGATGAAGGAAGGAAGATGTTTGACCTGGAAACCCATTTCCTATTGGAATATTGGATATAATAATCAGAACAGACTATTGAAGGAATAACTAATAATAACATAACAATGACTGAAGTCAATAGGATTTTCGTAACTGAAACCAAGATGAAAAACTATGACTCCTGTTTCTGGCCATAGAAGATTTTTCTCTCCTCCACATGCCGTGAAGTTTGCTTTCTCAGCCAATAGCAAATCATCTTGGTGAAGTTAATTTGTGGAGTGCTTTTAAAAAGAAAAGAAAAAACCATTTTAGCAGATTGCTTCCCAGAAGCTCTTTTGTAAATAAGATTTATATACATACATATGAATTTTGTGTATTTCTTATTGTCATAAATAATGTCATGAATATTATTGCCATAAATTACTTGCACCCTATGGTATGCACCACTTCAGTCCTGGGGTATTCTGAAGAATAAACGGCTATGGTTCTCTATTAAATGTAGAAAATGTTAGGTTGGGGATAAGGATGACAGAGTAAGTCTCATGACCCTGTTTCATTTCGCTTTGGGTTTATTTACATCTCTGAAGCTAAGCAGATTTCAGCCTGATTAATGCTGAAATGCAAGATCCCCTGGAAAGCTCAAGATGCTTTACTCTAAGCAGTGTCCATCATCATTTAAGGATGGACTTCTTTCTTCTGCAGTGTGTGCTCATGTAACCATAGAAAGTGCTTCTCCATAAACAAAGTGAAAGACTTAATGTGATTTTCAAAATGATATTCGATTGGTCTTCCAAATCAGGACTCTCTCAAAGTCTAAAGTGGACATGTCCAATTCTTATTTTTTATTTTACAAAAGAGTAAAGAGGAGCGCAGAGTGTAACCAGAGACACGCTGATCACGACTACTTCTGCTCCATCGGCTGCTGCGTCAGTCTGATCAGCTCAAGCCCTGGTCCATGGGCACTCAGCTAGTCTCTATTAGTACCGCACAGTCGTCTTCCCTTGAAGAGTCTATCATATCAAGAGCAGTGGATGGAAGTTGGGTCAAATCTCCGTCTCTCAAAATCCCATCTTCTCAGGGGTTTCCACAGTCCCACATGCCCTCTTTTCTCCTCAAAGTCCCCAAACCTTTATCTGCTTTCCCTGGAGACAATCTCCTTCAACATTGCTTGATAAGAGCATATCCCTTTATTCTCTTCAGAGGATTCTGCTTCCGGGGAGCCAAAACGGATAACTTACTTGTTACACATAACAACACATAACCTCAGCAAGTTAGTGCTGTAACCATTCCATGGAAACAAACACAAAACATAACTACCGAGTGTTTCCAATTCTTTTTTCTAGACCTTGTATAGGATAGCCAGACTGACTGAAGGTATTATCTCATGCTTGAATTATCCTTAATAAGCCATTCTTTGAGTGTTTAATGTGCAAAATACCATGTTAGACAGTACAAAACATAAACAACTTTTTAAATAGATACATTTGCTGATTAAATATAGTTTGAAGTCTTGAAGGAGAAAGAAGACATGACCACAAATAGCACCATGGAAAAGGTAAAAACTAAGTTTATTTGACATCTTTTCCAAGCCTCCCTTCCCTCTGTTCTCATAGAAAGTACCAGCTTAGAAGATTTTGCTGAAGAAGATGGGCTTCACATGAGCTTTGAAAAGGGCAAGATTTCATCAGAGTCTGACTAGAGACATACTAAACACCTTCTCTCTCTGACTACAATCCCTGCTGGACTAAGAACACCAGATGGTGATTGCCCCTCATGTCTGCTGCTCAGAGCACCTGATGTGATGGGGTGGCTGTGCTAACTTCCCAGAAGTTGCACACATCCGCACAAGGGTCTATCAACTACAGAGACTTGCTAAAGACCTCTTGGGGTAGAAATGGAAGAGATTTTTTTGTAATATTTTCAACTGTGATAGACTACTTGTAACATGAAATGTGAAATTTTATCCTTATTATGTGTACAATTCAGTGGCATTAGCTATACTCACAACTGTCACTACTATTTAAAAAATGTTTTCCTCACCAACCAGAAACTCTGTATCTGCAGTGGAAGGTTTCCCATTCAGTCATCCTTCATGGGATTTTTGCACTCTGGTGGATTGCTTTTCTCTTTACATCTGTGTCTCCCTATTTAACATCCCCACAGTCCAGCCCGCTCATTATTTGACCTACGCAAATCAAAGCTTGTCTTCTGTGGGGAGCACACAAGGGTCAGTTTAAATAAACATTATTATTATGGTGATAACGTGCTTCATCCAACTCCTGAAGTAAGGCAACCACACAGCTGCTTGGAAAAAATTCCCATAGGCTAATCCCACACCAGCTGGTGTCAGAGGAATATGGCTTGAGTTCATGGAATCACATGGAAGGAGTGTATGCATGTTTTTCCCCCAAGGGAATCTAATCCAAATAAAGAACCAACTAGGCTAGCAGGGGACTGCGGCTACAGTGGTGGTAAAGCACAGGCCAGATCTCCCGGCTCTCACGCTTTCTCCTCATCCACTTGTGTTTGGTACAGGAGTTCCCAAAGGTCTTCTCCAACCAGAGGACCTTCACATCTGCCATCCTCAACATGCTATCACTCAGCCTCTCCACAACATCCTTGCTCAGCAACTTCTGGTTTGTGGGCACACAGAAGGTGCCCAAGCCCGTGTGCGGAAAAAGTCTGGCAGCCAAGTGCTTTGACATGCCGATGTCCTTGGTTGGGGGCCACACCAACACATCAACCCAGGAAGTGGTGCAATACAGCTGGGAGACCGGGGAGGACCGATTCTCCTTCCACACCTTCCACAGTGGCATGTGGCTATCCTGTGAGGAAATCCTGGAAGAACCAGGTAACCGCCTCCCCCTACCTGCCGCATTTGGTTTTCCCCTGAAGGCTAACTAAGGGCTGTGATAGGAGAGGGAAATAAAGTATTCCTCCACAACAAATGGGCCTCCTCCCCTCCACACTCGGCATCTTCCACCTCTGTGTAGTGTCCCTTCTAATCAGGTCAAAAGCCCATCTGGCATTTCATCTCTGGCCTCTTTAGTAGTTGGATTTTTTAATAAAAAAAGTGGGGTGGGAGTTGTCGTCATTGGTTTAAAATAGCATTAACCTAGGGACTTCATTTAGACTTTTAAGAGTATGAGCATTTCTATTTTAGCAAGCTACAATTGCTATTTAGAAACAAATGTAGAGATGAATATTTGTAATAAAAAGTCCCAGTTCTACCTAATACAGGCCTTGGTTGTCTAATTTTGAAATAAACGATCAGAGTAGATTACCTTTAAAACAACTTCTGCACCTCCATCCACTCACAAACTGCCCCCCCCCAGAAAAGTGTTTTGTTATATTGAGTATTACTGTTATAATTTTAAAGGCAGAGAATCCAAAGCCAGAGAGGGTAGCTAGATCATATAAGGGAGCCCATAAGGAGCTTAAAACAGACCTGCAGGGTCTCTTGCCTCCTGGATGCATAGCAGCATGGCAGTCACACTGTGCTTGTATGTATTAGTCCACATAGGCGCCATACACAGCATCCAAGAGTTATCCTCTGGCTTGGAAATAGAGCTCCTGTTAAGAAATTTTTCCTAGGGCCCAATTTCCCTAGTGTGCTAAGGAGAAAAGGAAAGAGGAATAGAAATGTGTGTGTATTTACATTTGTAAATTATATTACTGTGCCATTTAGCACCTCTCCAACTCCAGTCCTGGAAACAATTTAGAGCCATCAGTCGAGTGGTGCAAGAGCAACAAAAAGGTATTGGTTCATATCAGACTTGTTAACTCTTCCAGCTACAGGAAGTGGGAACACCTTTCTGTGTAGGCCTCCTCAGGGAAATATCTTTCTCTTCATTGTCAGTAATGGAGGAGAAAAAAATCCATTCGGATGATACTTGCCCATGCCTTTCCTTCACCCGTGCACTCTTGCCTACTGTCAAAATGAGACATGTACTGGCATTAAGACACACCAGGCAGGCACTCTGCCACAGTAAATGGAGAGGCACTAGACAGGGGGTTGGGGAAGGCTTTTGCCCCGGTAGTCCCAGGAAGCACGTCCTCTACCTGCCCCCTTCATGCTTTGTATATGTTTCAGGGAAGAAATGCCGAAGCTTCATTGAACTCACACCACCAGCCGAGAGAGGTGAGAAAGGACTCCTGGAATTTGCCACGTTGCAATGCCCACGTCACCCCGCTCTCCGACTTAGAGGGAAGCGGTTGATGGAGAAGGTTTCTCTCCCCAACCTTCTTCTCTTGGGGCTCGTGGCAAGTATGTAGACTTGATAAAGAATTGAGTTGCTGTTAATGTGGATCTCTCTTGATCTAATGTGTATAGGCAGTACCCAAGTCTGTTTCTGAAGTCTATGTTTCACTTTTGTACATATGTGGCAAGTGAGGTATGAGCCATATCTAAACAAAGTTAGCCAAATGCATAGTACATAGTGTATCTTTCTATGCATAAAAAAAACGATTAAAGATACACTAGAACATTTTAACTTCATAATGCAATAAATTTATATACATACATTGCAAAAAAGTGCCAGTTTATCATTATAATTTGTATGTACCCCAATTTTTAATATAAAATATTAAATTTGGGAGTTGCTAACAAGAAATTCTAAACCAGACACTCAGACCCTGGAGACACTCAGACCCTGGGAACTGCCTCTACTCTGATCTCCTACTCCTCTTTCCTTCTGCCCGTTTGGGTGACAAATCCCTCCTGCAGCTGACCTTCATTCCTCTTCAGGAATGAGAAAATGTAACAGCAGGGAGAAAGATCACTGGCAGATCACGTTTGCTAGCTTTTGCCAAGAAACCCTGTTGAATAGTTTGGTTTTCCTCCAATAATTTGTCAACTAGAATAAAAGGATGAAAGAAGGAGAAAGAAAGATTAAATATAATATATAAACACAAAGCTGGTTGTCTCAAAATTAAACAAGATAAAATGAGTCAACAGATATATCCTTGCAAAGTTTTATTAAAAAATTAGATTAATTCATCCTAGCTCTTCCTGACATAATATTCAGTGGGTCATATTTACTTGATTGTATATTGGGTACCAAGCAGCCCGGGAGCTAAGGAGAGATACTAAAGAAGCCCCGATTGATATTCCTAGCTGCTCCTTACCTTCTCTGATACCCCAGGCTTTTAACTTCTTTTTCACCTCTCATCATATGTTTCCCCACTGATTCTGTTACTAACTGCCAGGTGAGCATTTCCTCTTCCTCTGATTCCTAACAGAGATCCTCTGGTTATCACTGGGAGCCCAAATCACCTACATTGGACTTCAGTTCACCAGCTTCCTCCTGCTACTAACAGACTTGCTGTTCACGTCCAACCCTGGCTGTGGGCTCAAGCTGAGCGCCTTTGCTGCGATTTCCTCCGTTCTATCAGGTGAGCGAGCCCTTCCAAGCAGGCGGAGGTGGGTGTCTTCAGCCACCTGGGAAGCGCTAGCTGTAGGCTTTGAGCTCCTATCTTGAGGAGAGGGAGAAGCCCTAATAAAGGTGTTCTATTAGTTGCAACCCTAATCAACAACAAGACTTGAAACTTAGCCTGTTCTGCGCCATCCATCCTCACAATCTTCAACATTCTCAAATCCATTGTTACTCTGTGTCAGTAATTTTTGTTAAAAGTCTTTCTCTGACCCTTCACCTTTCCAAGGACTGATCCCTCCTGACAACATGCCCCAAGTGTGTGAGATGGAGTTTCCCCACCCTTGCCTCTAACGAGCACCCTGGCTGCATTTCCTCCAAGATAGACTCGTTTAACCTCTTGGTGCAGTCCCTGGATATTTAGTATCCTTCACCAACACAATTCAGATATCTCCCGTCATTCTTACCATTTCCAACTTTCTGATGTAGGAGGCATTTTTAATCTTATACAGAAAGGATGTGAAATTTCATATCGGATAATTTGTAAAATGATTGATCATTCTTACTTGCAAGCTTTCCTTAATAAGTAGAATATATTGTTTGGTTCCTTTTTCAGTCATGGTATATCCACAGATTGTCAAGGCTATCTTGATTGGCTAATGTGAGATAAATAAATCCAAAATGGAGGTGGAATAAGGCCTTTGAAGGTTTAGAGGAACCTATTGCACAAATAATGCATTCAAGGAGAAGTCTTCATTGTTGATCAATCTCCCTGGTAATGTGAGGCATATGGATAATGGACTATGGACTTTGATGCAAAAGGAAAAGATTGCTCCAAAACTACACAGTCTTTGTTTAAGGGCTCTGTTTCTTTCTTCTGTAGGCCTTCTGGGAATGGTGGGCCACATGATGTATTCACAAGTCTTCCAGGCAACTGTCAACTCGGGTCCAGAGGACTGGAGGCCACATGCTTGGAATTACGGCTGGGCCTTCTAGTAAGTCGTTGAAAATCCCCTGAACCTTCCTGGTCTCTTTCCCAGGCAACCATCATTATATTCCCCCAACCTTCTGCCCAACTAGATTCTTGCTCTTTGTCCTACTGCCTTCTCTTTACTCATCTCAGAAGTAACAGTCAATCACAGGGCTAGACCCTTGTGACAAACCATTTTTTTCACCATCTTCTAATGAGGAACAGAAAAAATTCTTCTGGTGTGTTCTGTGCTGATGTTGCCTGGTCTTGTTCTGCTGATACAGCACAAGCAAGTGCGTCTTCCCCTGTGGCACAGGTTACCCACAGGAAATGAAGTCCTTTGCCATGGCTTATGGAAATTCTTTCTATTTTATACTTCTGCTGGTCGGCGCAAGGCATTGGAAGATAGAGAGATGAAGGAGAATTAGTCTTGAAATGTGTATTTCATTCCATCCATTGTGAACTGCACACCCTTCTCGAGAAAAGCAGTTTTTCTTCTGTTTTCATTCCTAATCCATAAAACCGTGTTAGAAACAAAACTTTTTCTAGCACAGTCATTCTCTGTCTCTTCAAGAACCAACAGGTCAGTTATTAAAATCCAGAAACAACAACCATGATTAAACAAGCACATCCAAGCTAAACTTTCTCATTTCTTCCCCACCAGAGCAGGTTACCTCTTGATTCTCTGCCTCATTACCAAGTTAAGACTTGACTTTCCATTCTAAAGAAAACAGAGGATCCTCAACAGACATTCTAGCACCTTCAATGCTTTAATCATAGTCTATCCTCCTTCCCCCTGGTTTCACATGTGCCACTTGATTCCATTTTGGTAGAGTAAGTTTTTATCTACTCCCATCAGCCACTCTATCAGCTTAGCCCACTTTTCAGAACTAATGTTTTACCTTTGTCTAAAGCTATTCTTGGCATAGTAACTCCTGAACTGAAACTCCAAAACTCCAAGCAGACGCAGGGCAGCAGCTGCTAAGTGGTCGGCTTGGGGTTTGTCAGAGAAACCAGACAGCAACGTGCACAACCACTATGTGGCCTGGCTTTAACCAACATCACTAACCTCACAAAACTTCCTGTTTCCTGAGCTTCCCAGAATTATGGGGAGACTTAAGGGCTTGCCAATTTCCAAGTTTTTAAGAATGTGTTTGATCTAGTTCCCTGGTGTCATGTCTTTTCTTTTTCTTTCCTGAATTTAACCAATTTCTCTTAATCTTTAGATTCTTCCCCATCCATTATAAATTCCCTTAAGCCAAGAACCACATTGTTTTCCTAAGAAGCAAATATCACTAGTGCAGCCTGTAATAACTCTAAAAGTCTAACAAATGTTTTTTGAATGCCACTCAGAGGCTCGTCTTTGTCAGCTCTGTTAAGTTCTAAGCAAAGGATGATGCATAATCCAAACTTGACATCTTACTCCAAGAAATCCTTTGCAGAGTCTATGTGTCTTGGGTAGGTGGAGAAAGAGAGGAAGACTCTCAAAGAGAAGGACTGATACAGTGACTGGGCTTCAGTGAGGATGACTTGAGAGATCGATGTTCATAAGGTCACAGGGGAGAGATCGATGTTCATAAGGTCACAGGGGAGAGACTGATGTTCATAAGGTCACTAGGAGTCATAGTCTCCTCAAGGACACTTAACAAGAAGCACGTGTCTTGGGAGAGCTGAAAGATAAAGGTTATTCCGTTAGGCTGTGCCCACCATATACAATTGGCATGAAGATCTATAGCAAACTGGAAATCATAAAGGTTGTACACACACATACAACACCCTGGAGCAGAAAGGGGCGCAGTACTCCATGACAGTAGTGATCAAGTCACTGAAAGCAAAGCTGTTAAAACTATTCTCTGGCTTTAGTTCATTTTCTCATTATAAATCATTCAGAACGTACTCTCCTAGGAGAGATCAAATACAGTCCTTTTGCCCAGAGGTTTTTTACCTGAATCATAGAGGAAGGGAGCTTTCTCAGGCCCCTAAATCCTTAATACATACCAGCCTAGTCTAGTAACTGGAGGGGGGAGGGGTGGGAGGATGTTTTGTTTTAATTCCTGTAAGAAAAAAAAAGATTCCAATGGCCCACTTGTTATTTGTTTGTTTGTCCCTAGTATGGCCTGGGTTTCCTTCACCTGCTGCATGGCGTCTGCTGTCACCACCTTCAACATGTACACCAAGATGGTACTGGAGTTCAAGTGTAGGCACAATAAGAGCTTCAAAGAAAACCCCAATTGCCTCCCACATCATCACCAGTGTTTCCTTCAGCAACTGCCATCTGCTATCCACCCAGGGGTACCTTTGACCAGCTGCCACCAGTACCAAAACCAGCCCATCCGCTCTATTTCTGAAGGAGTTGACTTCTACACAGAGCTACAAAACAAGGGGTTTCAGCAAGGGTGCAGCCAGGGGCAAAAAGAAGATGTGGCTGAGTCATCTGTGGAGGAAGAGCAACATTAGAAATATAAGTGGGTTTGGAGTGCAGGATAAGCCCTACATGTTCATTATCAACATGTGTTTAAGCCAAAGTTCGTTTCTTGAGTCTGGTTTTTAGAGGTTAAGAATAAGAGAATCTTAAAATAAAAAAACCCATGGAATCCCAAGCTCCCAGTGCTCCTCTAGTTTCCTGCCGTTGCTGTAACAACCTAGGTGCCTTAAAAAAACCAAAATTCATTTTCTCCCCAGTTTAGAGGCTAAATGTCTGAAATTAAGGAGTGAGCAGGGTGATGGTCACTTTGAAAGCTCTAGGGAAGGATCTTCCTTGCCTCGGTCGAGCTTCTGTTAACTCTTGGCAATCCTTAGTGTTTCCTGACACGTAACTACATCACTCCAGTCTCTGCTCTCACCTTCAGATGACAAACGCCTCTGTCTTTTCTTTATAAAAATACCTCTTATTAGATTAAGCGCTCACCCTAATCCAGTACAACTTTAACTTCACGGCATTTGCAGATGTTGTTATGTGCCGTCGAGTCGTTTGTGACTCATAGTGACCCTATGTACAACAGCCCTAAACCCTGCTCTATCCTGTGCCAATCGCATTGCCTCTGACACACCCATCCTGATTACCCCAGTCACTGAATCAATCCATCTCATAGAGGGTCTTCCCCTCCTGCGCTGTCCCTCTATCCTACCAAGCATGATGTCCCTTTCCAAAGACCTGTCTCTCCTTACAACATGTCCAAAGTATGTCAGACGAAGCCCCAGAATCCTTGCCTCCAAGGAGTAGCCTGGTTTAACCCTCTCCAGGATGAATCTGTTTGTTTTCTTGGCAGTCCATGGTACATTCAATACTCTTCTCCAGCACCACAGTTCAAAGGCGTCAATTCTCCTTCTATCCTCCCTAGTCATTGTCCAACTCTCTGATGCATAACAAGTGATTGCAAAAACCATGGCCTGTATCAGGCGGACCTTAGTTTCCAGAGAGACACCTTTGCTCTTGAGTACTTTAGAGAGGTCCCTAACAGCAGACTTTCCCATCGCAATACGTTTTTTTATTTCCTGGCTGCTGGTGCCAAGAGTGTTGACTGTGAAGCCAAGCAAACTGAAGCTGTGAACAATCTCAATCTCTTCGCCATCCATCCTGATGCTACCGATTGGTCCAGTGGTGAGAATCTTAGTCTTCTTGACATTGAGCCTCAGTCCATACTGAAGGCTGCAGTCCTTGACCCTCTGCAGTAAGTGCATGAGGTCCTCCTCAGTTTCAGCGAGCAGGATTGTGTCATCTGCATAACGCAGATTGTTGATAGATCATCCACCAATCCTAACGCCACGCTTCTCCTCATAGAGCCCAGCCTCTCAGATAATCTGCTCTGCATGCAGGTTGAAAAGGTATGGAGATAGGACATATCCCTGGCATACACCCATTTCCAAATAAGGTATACTTTCTGAGATTGTAGATTAGTGTATTTTTTTAAGACACTATTCAATCCCACTTGCCGTACAGAGAGGTAACTTGTGGTCACTGTGAAGCTGAACACTGTAACACTGATGTGTCAAATGTGATAATGGTTACCCATGGTGGACAGTGTTTGGTGGCACTCCCCGATTAAAACAAGCTCAGAAGCAGGAGTGGCATCCACTTCCATAATAGCTTGCCTCTGGAAACTCTATGAACCTGAAGAAAGGATCAAAGTCACACCAGTGTTAAGGATTTTCGTTCATAGGGTTGCTATGAGTCACCTACAACTCGACAGCACTTAACAACAACAGACAACATTCAATCCCACTATATTCTATATTTCTCTTTGCTGTATATTCAGAGTCCCCTTCCCTTCTTACTGATTGTTATTCATACCTCAGGTTCTGGGATAAATAACAGAGATAAAAAGGAAATAGGAGTAAAATACAGCCCCAGCTCTTAAATCCTCTGCTACTGAGTTGATTCACACACAGTGGTCCTCTCTCAGTAGTCCTAGGGGAAGACCCGCTGTCCTTATTTCTCCTGCGGAAAAGCTAGGACATCCGAAGTGCTGACTTTTCCGTTAGCAGTGCAACAGGCGGCACCCAGAGCTCCTTTCCAGGCTCTTAAGAGGCAAAGTCTAAATCTGGCCACTTGTCTGTGATTTGGAGAAGCAGAAATGGGCAAATAACAGTAGCTGGGTTAAGGCTCAACTTCCTAAAAGTGTGCCTGAACTTTTCTGGACACAACATTGAAAAAAGGAAAGCAGTGATGCATGCTTTGACATTTTCTATCAGTATCCTGTATCTACATGGTAGGCACTCAATAAAAAATAGAAGCCATTCTGAGAGTACTGGGCCACGTGGAATCCCCTAGAGCATGAGGGAAGGACCCACCTCCCAAAATGACTCAGCAAGAGCACCAGATCTTATTTCCAGGTAAGATTATGGTTCCCAGTGGAGAAGCACACAAGGGCCGACCACATCAGGGAACAGGGTAGGGTCTACTCTCTTCTCTCACCCCCACCTTATCCTGAGGCTTTCTGAAAGACCTAACCTATTCCTCATAACAATGTCATCCACACATTTACATCTTCTCTTTTTCATAAAGAAAACAAAACCAACCTTCATGGTTAAGAATGAGCCTAGCACACAAGTATGTTCCTGTATATAGTATTTATTCTGTAACATTTCACATTTTAAATAGTACTTGATGACAATATACAGCTGGTTTTCCCACAGTATGGAAAAAAAGGGCAGCAATTCACATTTGAGGGGGTTGGTGTCACCATACCACAATAAATGAGCAATTAGAGACCGTTGGGGGGTGGGTGGGTAGTGAGGATGCTGTTTGGATGGGTTTGAAAAAAAAAAAAATAAGCTATAAAAAAAAGTCATTGGAAGGAGAGTAAGACCTCTGAAGCTGCAGAAGTCATTACTATTTCTAAATAGAAGTTGTATTGGTTTTCCTGGCAACCTCATGCTGAGAGGAAGAAGGGAGGACTTCCTATCTTAGGATAAGTGGCTGAAGGGTTGCCTGTGAGGAGGAGGAAGTTCGGGGAGACACTTGACAAGCGCCCAGTACCCACACTGGAGCTTCCTCAATCTTCAGCCACCACACTCCTCCCTTCTGTACTGGCTGCTGAGAGCGAGGAACAACCTATTGCTAGCATTGTATTTAGCAAAACGAGAGTCAAACTTAATCTAGCCAAAACAATCTGTTACTTTAGCATGAAAACACACCATAAAGAATCTGGGGACATTATGTTTTCCTAGCTTCCTCTTGGGCATTTTCTAGGACAGGGGACAGTTGGTTGCCCAAGAGTCCACCAAAACCTGAACCTCACTAAACAACTGTATTTTATTCCTGCCAAGAAGAGCTGGCTTCCCAACAAGTCTCCTCACGGTAGAGAACAAGGTGCAGGCCTTGATGATGACTCAGCCCACGCCACAAGACACATCCACCAAGGTTTTGGGTATAGTCAGTTAAATATAATTAGACCTTAAAACTAAATGAGTACTTAGGCAATTTCTGCTAAGACTCAAACTCTGATCATTCTCTTACTCTGGCATATCCTTTGTTACCCTAAAATCTGTCATAAAAGCTCTATCTACACAAGCCTTCCAAAGTTCTGAAACCAAGAGTTCTCTCAAGTGCTTAAGGCAGGGTGCCCAGAAATTTAGTAAAGTCACTCTGCACGTTCACTGAATCTACTACTACCAACCTCCTGTTAGATGCTAATAGTGTTTACCAGTAGATGTTCCATATATATCTATCCCTTTATATTTGGCTGTTACTATTTTTCTCTGGAATCTTTTTATTAACAAAAACTAAAAAGACACTGTCCCAAGTATCACAATCTAACTCAACCCAAGAACAAAACAACCCAGAAATAAAGTAGTTTTTCTCCTCTATAAGCAATATAAACAACCACCTAGAATTTCAGTAGAGGACTTAGCAAAGGTCACAATTTATATATACATAGAGAAGAAGGGGGGAGTAAGCCATGAAGATAATTCTAACTATTTACAGGGTATAGTATTTATATGGAAATTTTCTCAAAATACAGTGGTTTGCATACTGGACTCAGGAAACAAGGGGTTAATGTCCAGAAATAGCTCTGCTCTCATGCAAGCAAAGCCAAAACATCCCTGAAGAAGAGAGAAAGCAAAGGAAGCAAGAAGGAGCTTTACAAGGAAAGATACTAAGAAAATAGAGTAGGGATAAAGCATATCAGTCTCAATTTCTCCTGATGTCCAGTTTTCATCTCAGTTAAGAAGAGTAAGCAAATATACTGTTTTGAAATTACCACAGTTTAAAAAAAAAAGAAAATGACTGTCAGAACAATCAAAACCACATAAAAATAACAGAGACCTAATCAAAGATGGGTATTCTAAACTATTTCTCTTCATAGGAAAATAGTAATAATTATGACCAACAAAAGATAGATAAATAGCTGATACATAGAAGGACAGACAGATTGATAGACAGATTGTTGGAGAGCCTGAAGAAAACAGGATAGACAAAGAAGAGATGCAAATGCCGGTGTGGCCAACTGGGTCTTCCATTACCAGGTGTTTTCTCACTGCTGCTCATGACTGCACAGTGGCCACAGCACAGGAGCAGAGAAGATGCGGGGGGAAATGATGAATGATTCTCAGTATCAGAAGTTGGTCGTCTGGAAGATTCCAAACAACCAAATAAACCAGATGTACTGGTAAGAGCAAGAAGCTGGATCCCTGGAGCTTAGGACATACCTGGAAAATACTTTACCAGAATATTTAAAAATATACACACAATGTAATCACTGGAATTTGTCAGCAACACTTTATAAATTAGACACACAAAAACAAAACGAAATATTCACATTTCCAGACTCCTCACACCTTAAAAAGAAACCAAAAACACCAAACATTGCTGGCGAGTTGCTAACAACTCATAGTGATCCTACAGGACAGCGGAGAAGTGCCCGGAGGTTTGTCAAGGCTATGAATCTTTACGGAAGCAGCCTGCCACGTCTTTCTCCCACAGAGTGGCTAGTGAGGCTGACCTCCCGTTTAACAGGCAAGTGTTGAATCACTGCGCCATGTGGGATCCTCAGAGGGCCTAGAGAGGACTGATGGAGGGGCCAATGAGGCAGGTGAGATACCCCAGCCAAACAGATCACACTGTTACTGAAGAACGCCGGTGTGCCTTCCAAAGCATTCTGCCACAATCACACGGAGCTGCCACCACGAGTCTGAAATCCTCCTGCTCTCCAAAGAGCTGATGTTACACTGACAGACGGTATGCATTCTAGTCGTTCTCTTAGAAACTGAAGATGCTATCAGGCTAAACCTACAAAAAAAGGTAGAAATATCATGCCTTTTCCCCCCCATAATTTCATTTGCGGTAAAAATTTTCAAAGAAAAGAGGAGAAACCTAAACATCAAGATTCCTCTAAATATGTCCCTGCTTTGTCTTTCCTTGGAGTTTTTAAGTGTCCCTCCCAAAAAAGGCTGGAGACGTAATATTTTTTGACTAGGTCACAGACGGACAGACAGGAGTATCAGCATTTTGTGAACGTTAATTCTTTGTCATAAGGCACTGCAACAAGTCTTACATAATGTTATCATCACTAGCCCTTTTCAGATGACCCCAGTAGCCTCCATTCGCTCGGCCAATAGAAATCAAATGCCCCCTTGGGAAGATGGTGCTGTTTCAAGCTGCAAACAGTTAAATGAGGTCCACCTTAAAGATTATGAAGCACCCTTAGCCAACAGTGCTGCTTTAGATCACATGAAAACAAATGCTACTTTAAAAGCTCCCATTCTCCCTACTTTCTGAAGGACAAAGCTGGAGTTGGCTTTTGTAACCAAACTTTCAGAAGCTATTCATTCACCTTGTAAGGAGAATCGACAAACTTTATCCTAGAGAGGAATCTTCGCAGCTCTCCACGGCCAATTTTAGGGGTGGTCTCCTTTAGCTGAACCATTTGGCCCTCCATGAGTGCCCACCGCAGACTAAGCTTGCTAACCACCAGGGCTGCTGGATGGCCTTCAGAGCTTTGTCCCGTCATTCTGGTAACATAGAAGGCATCTTTCCAGAGGTCGTTAATTCCAACTGAAGAAAGACAAAAACAAGAGCCCTTCTATTAAAAGAAGAGTGATTTGGTGATGGGCAACTAGAGTCATTCATTCACTTATTTATGCATCTATTCATGCTATAAAAGAAATTTACTGACTACTTAATAAATACAAGGAGATCCTGGGTGGTTCAACAGTTAACTGTTGTTGTTATGTGCCATCCATCGAAACCCATTCAAAGCTGACCTCCCCGTGCGTTTTCAGAGGCTGTAAATCACATGGAGGGAGACTGCCCATTTTTCTCCCAAGCTGGTGAATTTGAACCCCATGCCTTAGGTTTGGCAGTAAAACGTATTACTAGGCCACCAGAACTCCCTAAATTTACTAGTTTGGCTAGAAAGACTAGGGGTTCAAATCCACCTTGAGGTGACACAGAAGAAAGACCTGGTGACATACTTCTGGAAAAACAGCCTTTGAAGATTCTATGGAGCAGCTCTACTCTGACCCAAATGAACACCCCTAAGTTAAAGACAATGCAATCGCAATTTTTTTTTCAGAGAGGTAAATGGTTGGATGCAGAAGAGCAGCACTCTTGCCTCTTCCATCTTCTTTAAAGGTATTTCCAAGTAAGCCACAATGCAGGAAATGAGAGATGTACCAGTTACAAGAATTCAGTATTCAGAAAAAGCCAGCCAACCAACAAACTGTAAAGTCTGAATATTCCTAACTGTGAACTGCACAAAAGCAACTCACATAGTTAGTGTTGATTTTGCCTCATCTTTAAATGAGGAATTGTAATAAATACAGTCTTGAGATTCTTACCTAACTTCATGGTGACTGTTAATAAGCTAACATTGAAAAATACTTCCTTTAGATCTAGCCAGAATTATGCAAGCTAAATGTCTCCAGTTCTCTGTCATACTCAGGTGAACTGAAAGTTTCAAATTAGCTATTCCTCCCAATATAACCCAAATAAAATGAGAGCATCAACTACATGCCAGGCAGTGAGCCAGATGCTGGGAATGCAAATAACCCACAAGGAGTGGATTCAACTTTACAGCACACAGCTGAGTTTAAGTGGACAAGTTATTGGTTGGAAAATATATATATATGGAAAGAAGGAAAGAAACACTGCCACCTTCCTGGTTTTTCCTCCCAGCAGGAACATCTAGAATCCCTTAATCCACATGTTGTTGTATGTTGTCAAGTCAGAACTGACTCATACCTGACTCTCTACTTGATTTCTTGGCTTACCATAGAGTTGGCTCAATAAATTTCTACTACATGACTGCCTGGCATATAGTTGGTACTAGATAAATGTCTGCTTCATGAGTTCCTGACATATAGATGGTGCTCACTAAATGTCTGCTGCATGAATATGCAGTATTACTTTGCAATCCTCTAGGGTTAGGAATGGCTTTGATCTCAAAGGACATATTAGCTTAATGCTCCTACCCAGAGATAGCCCTGCTGCAATATCCCTAAACACAGGGGCAGCTGGGAAGATGACTCAGTATAAGCCCGCTGTCGTTTGAAAAAGCACACGTCCTCTCCTGGTGGTACAATGGCGCTGTACACACAGCCAGCACACACACTCCCCAAGTCACTGAGACGTACCCTGTGAGGCTGTCACGGTGTCTGTGGTATTGGCCAGATCCAGAAGAATGGTAGGGAATGCTGGATGCAGGAGGTAAAGGTGGTAAAGGCTGGGTGGCTCAGTTCCTGAGAGGCTATCCTGAAATGAGCACAACAGAAAATACAGAGGTAACTCCACAATCCCAAACCTGACTCTCTTCAGATAAAAACTGAAAAGAAGAGAGTGGTGATTACTGATTCAGAAGCTAAAACCTTATCCCTACTTCAATGATCTGCTTGAGAGAAACTCCCATTTACAAGAAGCAAAGAGCTCAAAACACAGATCACTACTTCAAATCACTCCCTAAGCTACAAAATGCTTTCTTTAATTGAAAATTAAAAAAAAAGGAAGCATGAATGCTTAAAAGAGAAATTTCATGTAAAAACATAACTCAACCCACCACCACAATCTTCAGCCTAAGGGAATACTAGCATAGTGGTTCATCTCTTGAAGTGGGGATAGGAAAGACTTGTGGCCACAAAATCTATTTTCTAAAATAGTGAACCAATAACAATTTCTGTCATTGGACCTCAGAGCCTATCGCAGGTGTCATGTGTGCGTCAGAGCCCTCGCACAGAAGCAGTGTTGATATCCACCCCTCAGAGGCTGCCACTCCCTTCCTCTTGGGTCTCTTCAAGTACAGGAGATGGAATCTCTGCGGGATGAGTATCACACTGTTTCTGTACTCTTAGAAGTGGAGGAAGAAGCCTGCTAAATAATGTGAAAGGCAGCTAGGAGGCTTACGTTCATCATAATGTCACAAAGCAGAAAATGGTAGTTCTTCACCTATCCCTGTTGTTGTTAAGTGCTGTCAAGTTGTAGGCAACTCACAGCAACCCTATGAAGGAAAGTTCTCAACCCTTGTATGTCTTTCATCCTCTCTCTAAGTTCATAAGGTTTCCGGAGGCAAGCTATTACGGAAGTGGATGCCACTCCTGCCTCCAAGCTTGTTTTAATCAGGGAGCTCCACCCCACACTGTCCGCATTGGGTAACCAGCCATTAACGCATTTGACACATCAGTGTCAGTGTTCAGCCTCACAACAACCACAAGTGACCGCTGTACGGCAAATGGACACACCAGGACCATATGACCTAGAGGAATGTTTGAACAAAAACAATGAAAGACAGGCCCGAGGGCTGTAGATTAAAAGTCACCCACCTTCAGCTTGGTAGCATCACTTTCTGTCCACTGGGCCACAGAAAACAAAATTTGAAAAAAGCCAAATTCACTGCTATTGAGTCCAGACTCACAGGAACCCCCCAGCAGGTGTCCAAGGTTGTAGCTCTTAATGGAGAACAGCTGCTGGTGGATCCAGAGACATGCAGCCTTTGGGTTAGTTGAGCAACACACAGACTATACCATCACACACCCTGGGCTCCCAAATATGAGGGGAGAGAGCTCTGGCTCAGACAGCATAGCTATAGGCAAACTCGTGCCTCACTGCCCATAGAACGGAGTCAGAGTGGTGCTAAATTACCCAGTAAGCAGGTACACACTGGTCCAGGTGTGCCTTCCACCAGTCTGCAGTGCACAATTCCACCTGTCTCCTATCACATCACACATGCCTTGTTAAAGTGCATGGTTAAGTCTGTGCATACCTTGCTCAATGCAAGTTGGTACACACCACGCTACTGCTTAGGCAGTCTGTGAGTCCAAACACCTTAGCATGAAAACCAATGTCTTTCACCACTTAACCCAAATCTGCCTTTTCCAGTCTTCGACATTTACCTATCCACCTCACCCTTCACTAGCTCTACCTTTAGCCAATCTTATCATTTCCCCTTTAAACACGCTAGCCATCCCCTATATCACATTTCTCTAAATTAAAAACCTCCCCATCCTCAGGTACCAACTTGAATGTCATATTTTGTGAACGGCTTCCTAATCACCAAAGGCAGCGAAGTCTCTTGTTCTTAGCTTCCACTAGGTGTGGATCTACTGCAGCATTAATCACATGTCTCTGCTTTATAATTTATAGTTTGCAGCTGAGTCATCCTGTCCAATCTCTTCATTTTAACTCTACAAGAAAACCTCCCAAACTTAAACTCATGGTCGTTGAGTCAGAACCGACTCATAACTGACCCTTCGGCGGGTTTTCAACGGCTGTGAATCACCCAGGAGATCTCCCATCTTTCTCGCAAGGAGTCGATGAGGATCCAAACCAGCGGAGGTGCCGCCTTTGGATGAGCAGTGCCACTCCCTACAGACCATCCCACCCGAGCTCCCGACAAAAAAGCAGGACGTTAAAACAGTAGGTAAACTGCCCATGGTTATTAAAGCATGTCAGAGCTGGTCTATAATATAGATTTTAAGGGGAGCTCTAGTGGCCTAGTGGTAAGGAGCTGTAACTACAATCCCAGAGGTGCACGGTTCGAATCCACCAGATGCTCTGCCGGGGAAGGAGGGACAATCTCCTCCTGTACCAGTCAGATCTGATTTGACGGTACACTCACACAAAAATAATAAAATAAAAAAATTTAAACAAAAAAAATATAGATTTTAAAGAAATCGGATCTTTTCTATGGGGGAATATCTTAACATCGTCATGCAACCCATAAAGAGCTTGAGGCTCAAAACAGTCAACTTGCCCCAAAATGGATGATGAAGAATTGAAGATTGTTTCTCCTTCACGTTCCCTCCATGTTCTGTGTGTCACCTGTCTTTTCTAGGGACCAGGACTTTTTTCCACTTTACGCTCAAGTCCTACAGAGAGCACATTGCTTGGTATGTGGTAAGTACTGAGTCACCATATTTTAATTTAACTAAATCAAGTTGGATCTTATTGAAAACTCCTGGTACCTATAGAAGGTGGTACCCTACCTTTGCAACTCCATTAAGATACTTCAGGTGCAGCATTTAAGCTTTTCCTAAAATCTGTTTCATCCTATCAACAGATTTTCTCCCAACTGAACTCACTTTAGTCTGTACTATGCCCCCCCAATTCCTTTGCCCATCCCTGTAATTACTTCTGCAGTGTGTTGATGTATCTCGAAAACCTGCCTTACCCCTCCTGAGAAACCATCCCTTGCCCACTATGGGCCAGCCGCACTGGAATTATTTCTTCCATTCAACAACTGCAGCATATATGAATTAGCACTACATGTAGGCCTGGCATCTTGAGAGGACTTCTGATTCTCGATCTGGTCTCCCACTGTGGGTAGCCAGTAGCGTCTTTAGTCAGCTTTTCTATAGTGTGGCTGAAAGGCAAGGGCATGTACGCAGGAGGAAGCAAGATTCCCGCTTTCACCTTGCAAGCACTTGCAGTCAAGGACCTCTCCAAATTACTAAGGAGCAACAATGTCAGTTTGAGGACTAAGATATACCTGATTCAGGCCATGGTCTTTTTGATCACTTGTTATGCATCTAAGAGCTAGACAATGAATAAAGATGACAGAAGAACTAATGTCTTTGAACTGTGGTATTAAAGAAAAGTACTGAATTATCTCATGGATCGCCAAAAGAACAAACAGATAGGCCTTGGACAAAGTACCGCCAGAGTGCTCCTTGGAGGCAAAGATGATAAAGCTTCATCTTACATACTTTGGGCATGCTGCTAGGAGAGGCTATTCCTTGGAGAGGGACATCATGCTTCAGAAGGTGAAAGAAAGAGATGAAGACCCTCAACCAGATGGGTTGACACAGTGACTGCAGCAATGGGTTCTACTGTGTAAGGAAGTGTGGGACTGGCACAGGATAGGGCAAGGTTCGGATCTATGTTCTTGGGCTCGCTATGTTGAGTTCATACTCAACTTGACAACACCTAACAACCCATAATCCCTTGAGAGCACAAGTAGTAAAATGAGCCATTCAGGCCCTTGTCAGGCTAAGAGCAACTTCCACCTGACGAAGTGAGAAAGGCTACCTCCCAGGCTTACTCACAGACTTGGGAGAAGCAGCTGGTAGCCCTTCAGCCCAAAAGAGGAAGACGGACTTCTGGTCTGAAGTGACTGCAGAGTTGGTTGGTGTTTCTTTCATGTGACATGGAATGCTGTAACTCCAAGTGACAGAGCCCGAGGAGCCATCTACAACCATCATCTGAAAAAGAGAAGACCAAGCGGTCCTTAGAAGAGCAGCAGGCAAAGAACATAAAACACACACAAAACAAAGTACGGATATTAAAATAATGCGTATACTAACAGGCAGAATTTTTAAGAGGTAAGAAATGGGCTGCTCGAAGAACATTAAATAATGTTATCTCCACTTCTGCAGTTCTTTATCCAATCTAGTTCAAATTCAATCTATAAATAATCTCTCCTTTAATCTTCTGAGGAGCGTCAATGAAAATCATTCATTGTGCTTGGAAATGTCACACAATTTCTGTCTCTAGGTCCCCAGTGCTGGTATACTTGACTCACCAGGTCTTTCCTCCCACCCTTTCCTTTTGTGAATATAACTCAACTTGAAAGGTCCTATTCACATTTCCCACTTTTACAAAGTCTACCACAAAAACCATAACCACTAAAGACCTGCTTACTTCTCTGAAACACAAAGTAATATAGACGGAAGTATTATTTATTCCTCTTTTACTCCAAGAAATTTTAGAAAGCCTAAGTTGGCCTAGAAGGTAAGGAGTTGCACTGTCAACCCAAAGAAAGGCAGTTCAAATACACCAGCTGCTGTGAGGGAGAAAGGTGGGAAATCTCCTTTGTATGATTTACAGCCTCTGAAAACCTACTGGAAGGTCTGCTATGAGTCATTTCCAGCTCTACAGAACATAACAAAACAACTGTTAAGTTACTTAATTTGAAAGGAACTCTTGCATATGAAGATTAGATTAGAAAAGATCCCGAGAAAACAAAATATAGCAGTGAATTGGGGTTTTGTTTTCTTTTCCTTTTAAGTTTCATTTTATCTTAACACAGTTCTCTGAAGAAAGGTCCAGATACCGGGCTCTTTTTACTTCTCTGAATGCCTAGCAAAGGGCTGGACATAAAGCAGACACTCTACATGTTCTGACTGCCTTGAGCTCAAAGTTTTACCTTTTTCATCCCAGTAAGTCCATCCTGAACTTGCAGCAAGAAGTCTAAGGTCTGATCGTCAGTGAAATATCCAGGAGTAGGCTGACTGCAAATGAGGACAAATTAAGCTATCAATAGTGAATAAAAAAACTAAAAAATATGAACTTTCTCCCTCCCTTGTCTTACATAAGAACCTGATATCAAACAGCTGTTCTAAGAGGTTCAGAAACAACCGAAGTAGATCAAATGGTAGACAGAAAAGGAGCACATTCCTGACCTGTGCAGGCCTTGAAGGTTTAACGTCCAGTAAGATGTAAGATCTTGGCCCCGAAGAAGGACGAGGCCTTGTCTGGTTGTAATCAGGAGGTCACTGCAGTTGGAATCTGGTGCCTTCACCATCTGGAGTAGCTCAACGCCATCACTGAATCAAACCAGATCACAACAGTTAATCTCTGACTTGGATGGGATGCTATCATTTATTTTAGCTGTTTTCTTTCAGTATATTTATTCTTATATGCATTTCGTATCATTGTATTATCAAGTGGTACAATTCTATCCCTCCAACTGAACCTCACTTTCCTGACTCTTAGATACCAAGGCTACCTAGCTGATTTTATGCAAATTCAAAAGGAACTCCAGGAGACATGCTATGGTGCAACACTTCTCCTGTCGGAAAAGAAAAGTAACAAAGCCCAGTATAACACAGGGAAGGCAGCTGGGGATCTAAGCTGTAATGAGAACAAAGGAGGCTTGACACTGTCATTAAGCATGGACAGCCACTTGTAGTTACATGTCATCAACTTATTTCTCTAGACACCTGGAGTCAACCAGCAGTCACATGGAATTTAAGAAAACGCAAGAAAATGATGTGAAATTTCTGATAGGAAATAACAGGCTAGTATTACCTAGGCCTGGTTTTCAATAGGGAAAATCTACTGCATGTAAAAAAAAAATCACATGGTTTGAAATGAAGATATAAATAAGAATGAAACATGTTTTCATGAATGCTTGCCTAGCTTCTGCCAAAATGATGCCTTCACTGAGAGAAAAATACTAGAAAAGATCAGGGCAAACACTTCAACACAGCTTTATATACAGTTTAATTTGAATAAAATGCCCTTAAGATTACCCAGCCTCAAATGTACCCCAAGGAAAATAGAATTGAGACACAAATGGAAATCTGTACACCTATGTCCATAGCAGCATTGTTTTCAGTAGCAAGAAAATGGAAATAGCCAAATGATCGTCAATGAAAAATGGACTAAGAAATTATGGTACATTGATTCAATGGAATACTATGCAATACTAAGGAGCAACAATTTTGCAAAATACTATATAACATGGTAAAGTCCACAGAGTATTATGCTGAATGAACTAATTCATTCTCATGAGGCAAATACTGCATAAGAACATTATTATAAAAATGGAAGGATAACTAGTAAGATGTGGGTAAAAGTCCAAAAGGAGAAGGGGAGAGGGGAGGAAATCACTAGGCTAACAGAGTGTGATAAGGAGAGAGGTGGGTGAAGGAATTAGGAAAGATCCCACGGAGATCTGAAAAGACAAGGTAGCCATAGACCAATGGTGATTAATTTTCTAAAATACAATGTGAATGTAGGAATGAGTGAAACACTATGTACATGAATGATAACACAATGTATATGAATTTTGTATGCAAAATAAAATAACGTGGAGGGGGAAAGCCAAAACAAAAATCCATCAAAGTGTGTTATTCTGTTATAAAACACAAGCTAAGGCAATCTTATGGAAAAAATATTGATGCTTTAGATTCAGTTAAGAAGATTTGAAGTTAATAGATAAATATTCATAATACCCAAAAAGATTAATATATAATTTGATAATAAAAATATATTTACTGGCTTTAGTTCTTCCAGCTGTTAGCCCCCTGCCTTCACGCTTTCTGAACCATCCTCAAAAGAAATAAAACAAAAACATAGCTACTGGGAGCTCTGGTGGCCTAGTGGTAAGGAGCTGCAACTACAATCCCAGAGGCACATGGTTCAAATCCACCAGATGCTCTGCCGGGGAAGGAGGGACAATCTCCTCCTGTACCAGTCAGATCTGATTTGATGGTACACTCACACAAAAATAAAAAAATAGAATAAAAATTTAAAAAAAAAACATAGCTACTGTTGCTGTTGTTGTATGCCATCGAGTCAAAACTGACTCATAGCAGACCTTCTGGCAGGTTTTCAGAGGCAGTAAAACATACAGGAGGAGACTGTCCATCCTTCTCCCAAGGATGGATTCGAACTGCATGCCTTTGGAATAGCAGTACAACTGCACCAGAGCTCGCCTAAAAAAAAAAATAGCTATATAGATTGTTTAAAGAAAACAGAAACAGAAAAGAAACCAACACAACAGATTTCCAGCCTCATTATTTTCACTCTATTTGGACGTCTGAAAATACCCTTCCTTTGCAACCTGTGCACAAAGTAGTTACATAATTTGTTCACCATACATACGTATTACCACATTATGCTCCCAAGAGGAATATTTCTGACTCATGTTAACTAGATCTAAAGATGATATACTAAGGTTGGCACTATCTCCCCCCTAAGTCCATATATTCACCAACCAAAGTTCCCAGGAGATATGATGACCAAGGATAAATGTCTTCCCTACCTGTAAATGTCAATGAGTTCAGAAAAGTTAATGGATCTTCGCTTATCCCATTCTGATTCTTCAAGTTGCAGAGAAGGTGGTAAGCTGTCTTGATTTTGAGCTTGAACAAAAATGTCTCGCAAGGCAACGGCCTGTATATTGCCTGACACAAGAACCAACACAGAGAAGGTGAATTTAATAGAACTAACCCAGGCTGCACTGTAATCCCAAAGGCACGAGGTTCAACACTACCAGCTGGAAGAAGGGGCTGTCTCCTCCCGTGTGATTAACTGCCTCTGAAAACCTGTCAGAGGGTCAGCTGTGGGTCAGTTCTGACTCTATGGCACATAACGACTCAGGGTGTGGATTTGAGTAAGCAGCAGGGAGCCTGACCAGTGGGCCTGATAGGATTGACCCTGTCTAGAGAGTATGGAAGTAGTTAACGATCATAGAACAAAGATTCTTCTACTTAGAGAAGTCCTCACTGGGGAAGTAGAGTTACTAATCAGTAACTAATCAGAGTTACTAATCTGCAGTAGATGGGGAGAATGAGCGGTCCCAGCCTGAGTAAATAATGAGAGGGCTGGTTTCAGCAGGTCCTGATCTGTCACCCTGTCTCAAAATGGAAGCCTGATTATATACTCCAATGAACAGTTGTAGCAAAAAACAGCCTTGTGTCTTACCAAAGCCAAACAGGATGTAAACAGCCCCATTTGTCGTGATGTAAACCTGAGGACCAATCAGATTCCCCACTCCTAAAATGTTGTACTTCACAGGTCGGCCCACTGGAGTTCCTGTCCGGCCAGACACCAGCAGAAAGCACAGATCTGGCTGAAAAAGTAAAAAGATGTTAAGCCATCAGAAGCCTTATCATTTCCTATTCAACAGTTTCCCTAAACAGTCACTGCCTCCATATTAGCAAAGGATTCAGAAAATTCCTAAAGGCAGAATAAGATAAAATCAAAGCTGCCTCTTTTTATTTTCTTGGAAGTGATAAAATGAAGCAAGTGCCCATTCCCTAGTTAAACACAAGCAAAAGGTAAGTTGGTGATAGCTTAGGTACTTTGTCTAAACTACAATTACTGCTGACAGAACAAGGTCTTAAGATACAAAATTCTAATCTACTGCTAAATAGGGCAAGCTGATCCCCAGAAGTCTATAATTCTACACCCAAAAATGTGCACTAATATTTGATCCTATTGAGAATAAAATCTGTACTGTTTCATAATAAATCAGATGTCTAAGCCAGCCTCTATTTACCTTCCCGCAAACAGAGGTTGGCAAACTTTTTGTGAGGTGTGAGATGTAAATATTGTAGGTTTTATAGGACAGATGGTCTCTGCCAGGAGAGTAGCTATAGATAATATAAAAATGAAAGAGTATGATTATATTGCCATAAAACTTTATTTATTTTGGCTTATAGGCAATAGTTTGCTGATAACTGCTACTCTGAATTTTCTTTTGGAGACAGAATCACTTAAAAAAAAATTAATGAATGTATATTCTGACTCATTATATATAACCTGATAGGACAGAGGGAAAACTGCTCACAGGTTTCTAAGACTTTTTTTTACAGAAGCACACTGCCATGTCTTTCTCCTGTAGAAAATCTGGTAGATTTGAACCACTGACCTTTTGGTTAGCAGCTGAATCCCTTAACTAGAGGTCATCAGGTTGCCTGGGAATTGTAGGAATTACACCGATAAAGCTCTTGACAAATTTTATCATAACTTTGTT